ATATATATATATATATATATATATATGTGTGTGTGTGTGTTATTGTTAACGAATTCAAAACTACAGAAGCTGAGTTTATTTACACATATGATAAAATAACGTAATAGTTAAAGTTTAGGGCGTACGCTCTTCAACTGAACCAAAAAATTACGTAAAGGATTCAGGCTAATAGTAAATCACTGTTGCATAGTATTGCAATGGGTTAATGGTAGTGTATTCGTAGAGTTAGGACACTATCGTGGTAATGATATTCGATGTATACAGCATTGAAAATATATCGTTTCGTGGTGTAGAATAAAAAAAAGTTCACTACTGACAGCCGTAGCATGTAAATTGAAATTGTGAGAAAGTTAAAAATGTCGTATGAAGAATATTGGACATTCCCAGTGTCAAATCGGAGTCACAGACATAGAATCTTACCCCTCCAAACTAACAGTAACATTAGGCTTAGGCCTACACTACAATTAGGCTATCAATAAAGCTCAAAATAGCTTAATGCGATTATTAAATTAATGATTTGTGGTAGAATATCCAGACGAGGATTTTTAAAGCATAAAAAGATGGGAGACAAGAATTCTGAAAATAGTGATGATCATTTCACAGTAGCTGCCAAAGTTCAGATGACTGGTATTCTTATGAAACGACCATTTGGACATCACTCAAATAAATGGACAAAAAGGTAATTTTTGTCAAGTAAAACGAATTAATTAGCGAGTATGAACAAGATGTTGGCTTCTTGTGTATTTTTTTTATGAAACCAAGTGTTGTCTTTAAATTCGTGACATGAAACTGTAGCAGTGTAACTTGTAAGTTTAAACATATTCTTCCATAGTTAAGTTCTATTTTCATTCTCAACTCATGTGATTCAGTGTGAAAGTTCAAGTTGCAGAAGTAATACCACACTTGAGTGAGATGTTGTTTTAAGAACATGTACTGTAAGTTGTAACTTAATGAATCTTTAAACAGTAAGAAGTTTTATGTCTGTAATGTAAGTTGTAACATAGTTGTTCCTTAGTAACCTGCTTTGGTTTGTAACTACATAAATTATATACATTTCAAAAATGCTTTAAAGAACAGAGAATGTATTGTTACTTCTATGATGTGAAAGTTTATGTAAGAATTGGTGACAGTTTTTGGAAAAATGATAAATTTGCTTGGATTTCGAAAAATGTGAGAAAAAAATTAACATAGATTACAATATTAGATGGAAATTAACATGTTTACATTTTCATTGCGGGTATTGAAATCATTCATAAATAAACATAAAATTTGTTCACTTATGAGGGTTAAAATATACAATTTTTAATAACTTGTATAACATCTTATTAAAACTAATTTAACAAAATTCAAGCAACACAATATTTTAAATTTTGTCTTGAATTTAGTGTTTTCTTTTAATAGTTTTGAAAATACTTCTTCAGAGCATTATAAGCACAGGTTTTTGGCTATAATTGAACAACTCCATGTTTTGATATAAAGAGTTAATTTACCTCATTAAATGCATAATAAAGTACTTATTTCAGTTTAGGGTGTCAGTGATAGAACACATAATTCTTAAAAAAGATCATTTGAGAGAACCACCACCAAAGGTACATGAATATAGTAATTAGGAAATATTCTGTTTTTTTTTTTTATGAACTGTCACTATAACAGATCATTTTTCATGGCTGAAAAGTATAAACAGCTTCCTAGTCTTAAACTATTATTGGTAATGTAAAGTATGTGATATGAGGATAGACTCTGAACATTTAATATACTGTTACTGGAATATACAAAAATGGAGATTGGATATGCTGATAGTTTACAGAATTAGCAACTCTAATTATAGCCATATCTTTATAGGCTTTTTAAGTGTGTAAATGATCATAGAAACAGGCAATTCTAAACATTTTAAAACCTTATGTTAGAACATTGCTTAGAAATATATTTTTTTACGTATAATAATTAATTTTTGAAATAAACTTCCAGAGTCAACCTTGAATCATGTCTTAAGAAGAAAAATGTAGTATTTAAAATTCATGCAAATTCTAGTGACTTAAATTTTTTTACAGTGGGGTTAGTTGAAGGAATAAAAATATTTTACCCACTGCCTAATTTAGTGAATCAGAAATATTGTATACATAAAGGAAGATTAGTTTGCTGCCAATAGAAAAAAGCAATTATTAATATACAAGTAGTTTTTTAAGTAAAAGTTACTGGGTTTGTCATTACATGAGGCTGAAGAATATTTTTTTTCAGATTATCGTGACTGTTCTATTAGGGAAGATATTGTATGCAATTTCATTGTTGCTGTTAATCCTATTAAAGTATTGTCATTGCATCCTACTTAGACTGCAGTTCATTTAAATTTTTACAAAATTTCATTTTTAATTCTATATTCACTTATATGTCCCAAGGTTTCCAGTGTTCTGTGAAACTGTATAAACAAGTGTATGGTAACAGAATATTTCATTATTCAGCAAAAGATCATGGCTAGATATTTGATATCAGGCTGAAACGCTATCAGCAGTGTGCCATATGAACAACAAGGAAACATTTCATCCTTAAAGGCTGTTTTTGTACACCCACCTTTTATTAAAAGAAATATTTAAACATACCTTGTATTTTTCAGGAAGTCATTGATTCTCATGTAAATTCTAGTAAGGTGCTGGCTTCTAATAGCCTGTCTTATCTTTTCTATATCTTAAACCAATTTTCTCACTTTTTGTTGTATTCAGGATACAGCACAAAGAAATTGGAGGAATGTATGCTACTGACCTCCTCCAACCCAGGTAATCTTGTAAACTCCAGTAAGATCAATGCTAACCCTTCTTTTCTCTAGAGGACTTCAGAGATCTTAACCTATACTTATAAGATAAACCATCCATCCACAGCATAATCCTAGTAGCCCTTCTTTGAACTATTTATAATAAGTTCTTTTTAAGATAAGGAAACCAAAAATGTACTCAGCATTACAAATGAGACCTAATCAGTGATATGCATAAAGAGAAAATTATTTCTTTGATTTGTAATCAGTATTGCTATGCATATAAATACATCCTAAAATTATGTTTGCTTAACAATAGCAACAGAGCAATTCCTAGATTGCTTGAATGGCTTACCTACCACTATGCCAAGATCCTTTTCTTCAGTCATGCATTGAGTGGGCTCCATATTTTTATGTGTGTTACCAAAATTAAGATAATATAAATGCATTACCTTGCACTTACTAAAATTAGAGTAATGTACTGAGTATTTGTTGAACATACCAGTTAATCCAAGTCATTCTGTAGTACCTAAGCATCTGCTGTAGAGTTAGACATACCCTGTTATTATTATTGTTAGAAGAAACGCTGCCTGTAGGGTGGCTGTTTGTGCTAATAATTACTAATCACAGTATTCATACCTCATGGAAAGAAATTTACGAAAAGTGATCATTTTCTAAAAGAGGTATTTTTTTTTTCAGGAAAGTACTGCACAGGGAAAGTGTTTGGATTGTGCTCTTTAGTCATACACACATCATTGGATCAAAATGATTCAATGTACAGACCTCAAAATTTTCATAAGTTTTACTAATATAAACTGTAATGTTTTTATATATTAAGAATGCTACCCTTTATTGAAAAAAATAATAGTTTTTGTTTAAGAACTCTAGTTTCTCAGTACTACGTTTAAAACTTACATCAATAAAGATATAATCAAACCCTCACGTACAATCCTAGTGAAAGTTGTGTTCTTGTTTTGAAAAGAGTACTTTTATTTAAAATTGTATGAATCTTGAATACCCAAAGTGGGAATTTTTTATGGATTTTTGTTTATGCTGCCAAGCAATAGGTGGCGCAAAAGTTACATACACAGATACTAACATACAAGCTACATCCATTATAGTAAGAAGATTGTTATTCTGTTTACTAATTATCCTTCTAGCAATATCATTAATGTAAGTAAGATAAAGTATAGGCTCAAGCCTCCTCCCCATTTAATTTTATATCTAAATTTGGAAAACTACCTAATCAGCACAACTTGACACAGTGATACAGGATTACATGAAGAAAGTAATGAGGGGGGTGGAACCCCATCTAATTTTATATTAAGAGAATTCTTGAAAAAAGTATGTCTTTCTTTTCGGTACTGGTACCTTTATATCGTTTTATTGCACTTTTAATGTTTAAGAAAAAATAATAGAAACACAATTTCCTATCCTTTTTATTTCAATCGTCCAATGGACAGGTGCTCCAGCTACTTTACTAATGAAACACAGCTTTGAAAAAAGTTTATGATTGTATACAGTAAGAATTAGACTATCATGTCATAGTAGAATAAATATATAGGTTTAAGTTTTTTTTGTAATATAATTTTGGTAAATGTTCCTTTAGTTTGTGAATTGTGAAAGTATTTATGTGAAATTATATCGCTTGAAACTGACAAAAATTTTCTTGAATGGATAGACATCAGGTAACTTGAGATAAGGCAAACAGATACAGTTTAGAGGCAGATCGAATGGGTAACAAAGAAATCTTTTTACAAGTTTAATATAATAAATGTATGCAATGCTTGGAGGTTTTGTCATCATCAGATACAAATAGTTTACCTAGACAGGAATAGAATTACATACAGTATGAAATAGATATATGACTTGAGATGGCTTAAGGATTAGTAGAGGTATCTCCTTGATGTTTATTTCTTTGTTTGAAATTACAGTGTTTTTACTTTTAAATAGATATGTTTTTTTGAGATGCAGTGTTTGCAAACATGAGGTTTTTGTTATGCTCACCAAGTAAAAATAAGTCATCAAATCGGATAAGCCCATTGTAGACAACTAAGGCACTAAGGTCTTGTTTTTAATATTGGACTCTGGTTTCTTGTCATTTTTGAAAATAGCATAAGTTTGGTGTCTAAACTGTTTGGACCCAAATTTCGAGAGCTTTTGAGTAACAGGTTCTAGGTTGTTTGTTATTTCAACAGTTGGTAGTATGGTGGGTGGGATGGCAAAGGCTCAACTTGAGTATTTTTTTCAGTGTCCATTAGAACTCTGGAGCTAAAGTTGTGTTCTTAGGTGCATCCTGAGTAGTGAGCTTGCTGAGTTTCAGAATATGTTCCATTCGTATGTTTTTCCAGTTGATTGTGTAGCATATGACATATAGGTTTAACCTTATAGTTACAGGGTTGAACCCATTTGGCTACTTCTCTTATGGAGAATGATACACAGTTCAGCAATACTTACAATAACTCTGAGCTTTCTTAACATATCTTCACAACAGTTGGTAAAATTTTGTTAAAGGTTACAAGTATTTTGTACACAAAGAATGAGGATATTTTAATTAGGTATTTAAACTAAAGATTTGTTGTTTTTGTATTGTAGTTATTTGCACTCCGACTCTGAATATTTCTAGTATTATCATCAATGTATTGTACAATGAAATGTATCAAATGAAAAATAGAAAAAATGTCCATACCTTTTAATTTTTCATCAAATACTCTTAAAAATTTTTCTTTTGGTTATAAATAAATAGTAATTGTTCTTTAACCTATATTTTTCAGATTCTTTGTAGTGAAAGATGGATTTTTGCTTTATTATTCTGAAAATGAAAAAAAGATGTTTGAAAAAAAAAGTTGTTTCAACATTCATCCAAAAGTAAGTTTTATGTCTTATGAAACATACATGAAAATGTCAAGTAAATAATTTCATTTGGGGGGAAGAAAACTAAATGTATATACAAACCAGTAACTCAAAATGTTTTGTAATGTATTTTGTTAAAAAAAATAAACAATTCTAACATGACAAGCCTGATAAATATGGAATCTTAACTCATACATAGTTTTTCAATGCTTAATTAGATCTCATGAAAGGATAGGTAACCAAAATGTAATAATTTTGAAAAAAATTGTCTTACAGGTAGTGTGTGTACAAATAATTATAAAAAAAGAAAAAAGTGATACTTATTGAAGTATAAATTTGAAAATAAAATTAACACATGGCAAATAAGTAAAATAATCAGAAAAGAATGGCAAGTCACACATACAAAAGAAAAACAATCCAGGAAAGATGGTAGATTCCACTTGATTTATCGGCTCGACATGGACAGGTGGTTAGGGCTCTCGACTCGTAATCTGAGGGTCATGGATTCGATTTCCTGTCCCACCAAACATGCTCGCCTTTTTAGCCGTGGGGGCATTATAATGTGACAGTCAATCCCACTATTCATTGGTAAAAGAGCAGCCCAAGAGTTGGTGGTGGGTGGTGATGACTAGCTGCCTTCCCTCTAGTCTTACAC